CATGAAATAAATTGACACCATATCGCTCTTCAGTCAGAATACAATTTGGTATCCTGTGGTTATGTTTGCTGGGCTTATGGCGGGAACGTATTCCAAAGGTCCATTTTCATACTCACACATGGACTGACTGAAAGTTGCGGCTATTATTTTTATAGGCGGGAAGGTGGCTGCAGCCTCACCAGCGTCCCACGTTGAAGAGATGTCTTACGCCCTCTCAAAGGCGGAGGCGAAATATCTAATGACAACCCAGATCTCGTTGAAGGTTGCTGGAATTCCAAGATAACCGCATTTTTCTGCTCGAAGGACAGGTAGAGGGGTTCACTACCTTCAGTGATCTGCAAGAAATCTGGAAGAGTTATGGCGAGCTTGGCCAGATTCAACCGCATACGATCCCGGACGGAATGACGAGTAAGGATATCTGTGGGTTTTTGAACTTTCCCAGTGGAAACTGGGTCGCCGAAAGCGGTGAGAGATATCGTACGGACATTCCCAGGAGGGGCCGCTGGGCTAATTCTCTATCACAGGCTATGCTTTCACACCACAATGTTATGGCCCAGCTCACAGGTGAAATATTCAGCAGCTTGAATTCTTCACTCAGACTACCTAGTTGAGTGAGCTCTCGTATTTGGATTAGTTTCAATTGTCTTCCAGGTAACAGAAAAGACACTTGACCTTGGTGGTTGTGCCTTGGAAAATTGATCTGAGGGACTTGAATGTATGTAGATATCGCGAGGGTCATTATTTTAGTGGGACAACTGGTCCGCTTATTATGGCCAGTATTAGCGTCTGAATTTCAGAATGCATCACATGCTCCCGAGGGTATCAGTATTTGTCCAATAATAATATCGATTGAGCCAACTTGCAAGGTGTGGTGCGCTTGCGATCATTGGGCAGCAATTTATGGTGGCTCAAGAAATCCCAGAATTGTTTGGCAACCCCTGTACTACCAACTTCACTGGCGGTGACCATAGTATGCCTTCTCAGAAAGCAGGCAATCTTGAGGTCTATATACATCCAAAGCTTCTTGCCAGATATATTTTTGATTAGCTGTGGAAACTCCTAGAATCTGCCCCTCCAACCCGACGGTATAGTAGCTCATATATTGTGCTGTCAGGAGAAGATACCTAGTAACCAAGGCGTGTGTGCTTCTCAAAGTTTGAACGTTCTTCTCCAGTTAAATCCTCGAATGTCTGCTCTCTAAGTTCTGTGAACATTTTGTATGCCTTTTCATAAATTTGGTTGGAGGTCTATCCACCGCGATGGACAAATCCATCCAACGAGTCCCAGAAGTCTGCTATCTCATTCCAGCCCTCTGCATCGCGGTAATGGGACTTTAGTTCCTCATCTGAGAATGTAATGGGGCAAGCCATTTCAGGGCAAATATCTTTCCAATGGCTGTGACTCTTAGATCATCACCTTAATCTCAACATGCGATTTATATGCGTGGATATTGGCTTACCGTACAATACGGATAAGGCTCTCTCTAAATGGTAACTATGATATCCCCATCCCAAGTATTGGCAGAAAACTCCACCACGTTGCGAACGGTGCGTCCATGTGGGAAGTAGAGAACGTCATGGACAAGGAAATTGTTTTCCTTTGTGTCAGATTCATATGCCCATAGCAAAATTGACCTTTCTACTTGTGCTCGGATACGCGCTTTCTCGGATTCATCTTCGATATCTTTGTAATGATCAGGTATCTTCAGCACGATTTCGCCACTATAATTTACCAATGCTGGATGTCGTGCTTGAAGGAAGAGAGGTCCAGTCCATACACTTTGCCAGTCAATTACACTGGTAACCCTGTCACCATCAACAAACAGGTTAGGAGATCGCAATGCCAAATGGTGGGTCGGTTCAGTTCCAGATTTCTCGGCAACAGATGATCTGTAACCCTCGAGAACTTCCTGTAAAGGGCAATATGAGCATTAGGGGAGATTTGTGTCTCAGATGTTGTAAACAAATTTTGTGAAGGTTCAGCGGTGGCATGATAACTGATCCAGGCAATCTCACGCCGAGGAATTGCTCTGAGATAGTCTTGAGCGGTTTCCCCTGCAGACAAATCTTAGTAAACAAAGCGAATGCAGTTGATGCAAATATGCTGCAACTCACAAG